TTAGAATATTGGGAAAGGCCCCTACTTTTAAGCATTTGTTGATGACAGTAGCTAGGGAATATGCAATTTCACACACCACTGCCTTAAGGACTATTGTTGTCATTCCATAAATATCTTGACTACTTGTAGGTCTTAGCCCTGAGACTAAATTAACTATATACACAGAATCTACTGGTTTCCATTCCGTCAAGCTAACATGAGACATCAGTTGACTTATACTATTCAGGGGATTCAGATCTGTATTTGGAATACTATTTACAATTTCATTGACATTATCAAGCAGGAACCTATTAAACTCATCCGGGCTAGCGTTGCTCAGCATGGTTTTGGATTTGGTTTTTCCCCTGGACTCATTTACAAGGGACCAAGCTGCCTTACAGGGATTTAAAGCAGTTTCAATTTGTTTAACATTGAACAACTTTTTGGCCTCATCGACTTTAAGTTTATAAGAGTTCTTAGCTTTACTGTACATAAGACGAAGTTGTTCTTTTCTGTATTGACAGGAGGCCGATAGGTATCTATCTCTTAAGGCTAAGACTAAATTCTTATACCTAGCCAGATCTGGTGTATACCATATCTTAACATCTTACTTTCCCTGTTTAACCTTAGCAAACTTAGGCCTATTGGATGAATTTCTCACTGTCTTAGAAGGGAAGTGATGGTAAACTATCATTGACTAGATTAAAAAATTGCTTAAAAGACTCTTCAGGATCACTAACCTGTAAGACGCAGGTCCAGTCAATCTGTGATAGGCTTTCTCTGAACTGTGGAAGGTGATCCTCTTTAATTAATCTAAAGCTTCGTGCATACTCTAGGTGCCATGCAGGGAAAATAGGAGTGCTACTCACCAAGCTGTTGTATGTACTCATTATCACTGCTCCATGGTCCGCAATCAGAGGCTCAGTCACCTCAACCTCGTAGTCCCACAGGTTCAGGTTCGTTGCAATCGTGTCCAGACATCGATCTCCCCTTGTCGGTGCAACGCTGGTGATAAATAGGCCGTGTGCTCGTAGTATGTTTGCAAAGGTTCTTGTGTGGGCTTCGTCACAATTTAGGGCGATGTTAAAATCTCCTCCCAGTATTATTGTTTTATTCAAACTTGAAAAGTCGGAGAGACAGGTGTCCAGCCCTTCAAAGAAATTGCCAATGTGGCCATTTGGAGATCGATATATGCTCAGAATTATTATTGATGTTTCTAATAGTTCAATGCCAGTCACTTCGAGGTCTAGATCGACACAATAACTTTCCAAATCAAGGGGTTTTATTTCTATGTCTTCATTTGCAAAGATAGCCACACCTCCACCTAGACGTAATCTTCTGCAGTAGCATGCCACTAGCTGAAAGTTTTTGAAATTAGAGTAAAAATCAATTTCCTCTTACGCCAACCAATGCTCACTTATTTATACATAGGATGTTAAGATATGACTCAGAGCAGAAGACTGGCATCAAATTGAATTTAGTCCTTAGACATTGTACATTTAGAAAGGCTATTTTATATACATTAGATTTATTTACATTTGTGAGGTCACTAGACTTTGGTTTTAGTTGGAGATTACCTTGACGTGGTTTAGGCCTAGGCCTAGTCTCCCTTGACTCTCTGACACTGTTTTCCCCGAGGCTATTCTGAATAAAAAACGTTTGATCGTGACATTTTTTGGCCAAACTGAACTATTGAGAAATTCTTCCTTAGCGGCAAAGTCTACTCCTATCTTGAAACTATCACTGATCCCTTTCGTTTCGAGCTTCTCCACTTCACAACCAATGTTGGGGAAGTTTTCAATCACAAATTGTTTAACTGCATCAACTGATGTTCCACTTTTAACTTTACCTAGGTGAAACCAGGCTTTCTTCGTCCCTGATATAAAATCACTGTGTTTACCCGAACCAATTACAACTTTCCGAGTGTTTTTATTAAACTGTGACTGTCTAACTTTCTGTTCAAGATGGCGAGTCGCTGTTGCTGTTCCTTTAGCCATTCCTACTTGTGTTCGTTCTGGTTGAACCTTCTTCTGCTTCTCGCTCGTCTGCATATGTGCTGGCTCTTTGCTCTTCTTTGTTTCGTCTGCTGTAGACCTGTTTGTACCAACTGCAGTTACATTTGCATAGCTCTTGTTATTATATTTATTTCCTCTTCTTTCCATTCAGTACTGCTTGCATTTTCAGCACCAATTGAGTTTTCAAGCGTAACCATATTATTTATTTCTTCCTGGTTTCCTCCCGAATGTTTTGGGACAGAGGAAGCCATGTTGTGACTTGTCAGGGTTTCGTGGTTGCTTTGAAGCCCAGCACCCAAACCATCATTTTGTCCTGAGTTGTCCGCCTGGGCGTGGTTGTCAATTTGATTTAGGTTGTCCGACGACGTCGTCTGTCAAATCATACGTCACATCCTGTCTAGAAACACGTTTCAGGGAATTTTGATAAGAGGTTAGGTTGGAATTAGATTTATCAGTTTCTATGCAAGTTTGTTGAGTCGATAATTTAGAAGGGCCTGTTGGCAGAGATTTTTGCAGTAAAATAAACATTTTACCTAAAATTTTCTGTATGTCTAAGTACTCATCACAGTCGGTCCAAGACTTCTTCAGCTCCGAGAGCCTGGTGGTGCAGGGATCACAGAACCACATCACTGTATCTTCTATTTTCTTGATCGTCTTATATTTCGTGCTGTCAACATTAACACATCGTCCATGGAACCATTTCTACAGAACCCGTCACAATTTAGAGCCATATCGTTATTTTTAACTTCTTTATTACACTGCCCGCACAGATCGACATCCTCATCCACCGCCATCTTACCCGGAAAAAAATTTCCCGTCCTCCCTCAACGACTCGTGGGTCAGATCACATGTTTCAAGCGACCCTATTATCTACCTACCAGACCCCCGGGTCAGTTTGAACGATCCAAAACTACCTTCTGAGCGCGGATCAGTCTGTATGCATTCCCCCAACAACCCCCACCACTCACTCGCTTGACAGCATAGCAGCTAAAACCATCAGATCATTTGGCTGCTCCCTGTACTATGTCAAACTAAGTTATAGCTTTTTTCTCCGCAGATTTAACTTTGTCATATTAGTAATTCCCTTGTTATGTTCCATATAGAAATAAATCCCAATGCAATTCAAAGAGGCTACTCCTTTAATTTCAATGTGAGAAAGTCGATTCTTTTGAAAATGTAATTTAGAACCTTGTTAAACCAAGGTCTCAATTTGCTGAGAGACTGATTTTTTAATTGCTGAAATACTTTTTTTTATTTATTTAATTTTACAGTTATGACATTGACTATTGGAGGTTATGTGCTTAATCCTATAGCCTATATTAATAGGCAATCATGTTTCTTGAAAACCTTTTTTTCTCAGCTTGACTGCATCGCAGGGAAAATCTGCGCATGCTGTTAGAAAGATATTTTCCTTTAGATGTCCCTATATAAATTAAAATAAGCTAAAAAGTAAGCACAACAAATTAATTTAAAATTATATAAAAATTTACATGAGCCTTATGGGTTGCCATGCTGGTGACGAAATAACAACAAAAACAAAATATAAACAGAAAATCAAAACAAATGGAAAAAATTCCAATCACATGTTCTATTTACAGCGTGGGGTGAAGATACCCTCGCCGAAGCAAACCTGCCGACTAAGCGAATTTCCATTTGTCTGAATTGATTTTCAATGAATCTATTTAAATAACATTAGATTTAACGAGAACCTAGGTTTGCTGCTCCAAGGAAACTAAGAAAGTGTATTTTTTTAGTAAATATATCCATAATATCCATAAATCCAAATCCAAATATATCCATAATCAAGCAAACCACAACATTTAACAATATTCTCCATAAAAATAACATAGGAATTTTAAATTTAAAACTTTTTTTATTTTCTCCATTACCAATAACCGTAAAAAAACCTTTTGATACACTACTAGAGAGAAATTGGGATATTTTGTGTTTTGACGGTCAAAAATGAGAAAAACCAATTTTACCCCATAAAACCCCCTGTAAAACCCCATTCCCATGGTCTGATCATGCTGGTTTGCGAACTCATTCAAGTTTATCCAGCCTTACGCCTTTAAACTAAATTTCATCAAAATCGGACAAAAATTACTCGAGTTATTGTGTTTACGGACGTATATATATACATATATAAAAATGTGAACGAATGGTGTTTTTGGCCTCTGGAGACATCAAAATAAAAAAGTAAATCGGTCCCGGGCCTAGGTCTTACCATGACACCTACGGTAATAGCTACAGTAGACTCCCTCTTATCCGTACATCTTTTAACCGGAAATCGGTTTGACCGGACTGCACTCGGTAGAAGTGACATCTCTTTATCCGGATAATTTTTATCAGCACATCAGTTTAACCGGACTAGATTGGTAGGAAGTGGGCGGTACTGAAACGACTGTTCTCCTGGGAAACATTTGAGACCAGTGATTACATGTCTAAATACAATGCTCTCCTAATTTTAAGTCAAATACTGTATAGAGTATGCATTTAAACGGTCCGTTTAACAAGATTTTGGGGACGACCGTTTAACCGGAAAACCGTTATCCGGACTGGCCCCGGTCCCGAGGAGTCCGGATAAGAGGGAGTCTACTGTACTTCCCTATAGGCAAATTCGCTAATAGAGAAGTCTGTACATTATATATTTTTGGTAGAGTTTTAAACCACTGGACGACCTCTAGTTGTTTTTAAAACCTAATCATATTTATTTGTTGCATTGATTTTGTGAATAATACAAGCTCATTTTGTTATTTTTTAATAAATCCTAGGTTTTGCCAATGAATAAATTTCATTACAGGACATTGTCCGTGCTATCACAAATCTTGAATCGCACGGGTAGTTACTATACCCCAGAAATTTATGTTAGCTTATTCATAGCACCTGTAACCAATGAGTTATCGCAGCGCCACTATTGGAATGTGTTTGGCCTTTTATATCATAACCAAACTAAACTTACCACAGCAATGTATTAAAAAAGACTTGCTTTCTGGACAGTAATTTCACCTGATGGTATCCAATGCTCGGAAGAGATGTACGTAGCAGATATCCGGAGTGGCAGTGGGTTGGTTAACAACAAGGATGTGCGATATATGGAACAGGAACAAGAGTGCTCGAGCATAACTGTGCTTCAATTGGGCCCACACCGTCAGGTATCCCTGGGTAACAATAATTATACTAAAGTCAAACTGCTCGCTGAAGTGAAATGAAAATCCTTTATTGTCCTAAGTGAAGTGTACCTTAGTGAAATTAATGACACTATCAAAAACAAAGTTGTTGACCTGATAAATTACCATTTACTTTAGCATAAAACGTTTCCATTTGTATGTATTTATTAAATGTACACATAAACTCACCCTATCAAGGACTCATTTGTATTCAAATGTGTCTTGTGTTGAGGATTTGTGAATTTTTCAAATGCCTGAACTGTGGAATCTGTTACAGTTACAGCCCAGAATGTGTTTATTATTTGTACAAATGAAATTTATTATTTACACAACACAATAGATGATTATCAATATATAGTTTACTGCAGACAACAAACCACATTGCATTGCAATCGTCAAATATATAAACAATAGACAAAGCTTTATTGTACACAACGCCTGATACAATAATTACAAAAGTAATTCCCAAGCTGGTACATGGTCAATTTATATCTAGGTTCCTTAATCTAATTATACCCTAACAAGAGTGAAAACCATTAAGATTTATCTTAAAAATACCCCCGCCGCAGCAAACCTGCCGACTAAGCAAATTTCCATTTTCCTGAATTGATTTTCAATTAATGTATTTAATTAACATTAGGTTTTATGAGTACAGTAGAACCCCTCATATAAGGCCTTGGTTTTACCGGTCCTCTGTTTATCCGGCCCCTTCCAGGAAGCCAATATCAAATTTTTTTTCTCACAGCTTACAGACGTTTAGATGCAGCCACTAGTCTTTGTGACTGCTCAAGTCATAAAATAAATTGTTCTCATTATTTATCTGTTTGTTTATACATTTATTTGCTGAGTCACTATACTCAGTTGAGCTAGTAGGCCTAACCTCTGATCAGTTGGTTGATTATTTCCAAAGTGGGGTTAGTTCAGTACAGTACGAGTACATTGATTTTTGTATTTCACAAAATGGTTAAGAATGTTGAGTAGAAATGCATGTACCATTTAAGTCCTAATGATCTTTAAGTACAATTTATTGTCATTTTTACCTCCATTTAATAGGTTTTGTTACCTGGAATCATAATATTTGTACATTCATTACTTAATGACTTTAACCTACAAATATTTTTTTTCTTTTTACAAACATGTTTATTTTTCTAAAAATGATCCCAGAACAGAATTAAATTATACTTTTGATTGCATATATTGATTACCTATTATTATTAGGTATGAATTATCACTTTCAAAGTAGGTTGGTTTATCCGGCCAAATCGTTATCCGGTCAGGGGCTTGGTCCCGTGGTGGCCGGATATGAGGGGTTCTACTGTACCTAGGCTTGCTGCTACATGAAGGGTAAATTGTGTGTTTTTTCGTAAAATACAATTAACTTACCTAGTATAAAATAAATAAATTTACTAAGTTTGATCAAAATATCTCCATAAAGAAGCAAACTACAACATTTACAATATTCTCCATATGGATAACATTTTTGAATTTTCTCCGTAACCAATAATTGTACAAAAACACTATGATATACTAAATTATGTGTTTTTCAAGCTTTTTAAAAAGGTATGGGAGAAATAGGGAAATTTTGTGTTTAGAGGGTCAAAAATTAGAAAAACCAATTTTTACCCCATAAAACCCCCTGTAAAACCCTGTTCCCATGGTCCGATCATCCTGGTTCGCGAACTTATTCAAGTTTATGCCGCCTTACATCTTTAAACCAAATTTCATCAAAATCGGACAAAAATTACTCGAGTTATCGTGTTCGAGGACACACACACACATATATATATATATACATATATAAAAATTTGAACGAATGGTGTTTTTGGCCTCTGGGGACATCAAAATGAAAAAGTAAATCGGTCCCGGGCCTAGGTCTTACCGTGCCACCTACGGTAATAGCTACAGTAGACTCCCTCTTATCCGTACATCTTTTAACCGGATATCGGTTTGACCGGACTACACTCGGTAGAAGTGACATCTCTTTATCCGGATAATTTTTTTTCAGCACATCGGTTTAACCGGACTAGATTGGTTTCATCTCCCATTTCACCTGTTGTTTGTCATGAGCAAGTAGACATTTCAAAAATTTTACTATGACGTTTGCATTCATTTCAAAACACACTGTACGGCCATATCCTCGTAAAAGCTGTTTGGTGACTTTCTAAAGCCATTTAACGTCTAGAACTGTGTGCAAAACCCCCCACTCCCCCATTTATTTGTCATGAACAAGTAGACATTTTTAAAACTAACCATGGCTATTGCATTCATAAATCTCAAAACATATTGTAGGCTACGGCCATATCCTCCTAAAAAATGTTTACTGACTTTCTAAAGCCAATATTAATGTCTATACAGTACCTGTGTCCAACTGTCCAAAAACCTCCCATTTCACCTTTTATTTGTCATGAGCAAGTAGACATTTAAAAAATTAAACTATGACGAACTTGCATTCATGAATTTCAAAACATAGGCTTACTGTAAGACTATGAAGCCCTAAAAAGCTCCTAAAATCCCTTTGGTGACTTTATAAAGCCAATTTTAACATCTAGAACTGTGTCCAATTGTCCAAAAACCGATCCCATTTCACCTGTTATATGTCATGCAAGCAAGTGGACACTTTTGTAACCTTACGTTTTTCTCCATTTCATAGATTTGTCACAATACGTATAGTATGAAATTCAGTAATAGCATTGACTATATAAACTTCAACACTAGTGTTTATATATATAGTCAATGAGGCTACTGGTGCTACCGCTGATGGCTGATGCCTGTGTAAGTTAGTAGCTAACAGACAATTTGACAACTGGAAACATGAAATCAGCCGTTTCCCCGTCCTCGCTGTCGCGCTCGCTTAAGTCAGCTGACTGCTCTACTAAGAATTGGATGATGCGTACAACTTTCCATAGCGTATTATTGTTTAATTCGTCGTGCTATTGTCCCCCAAAGTTTATTTATGTGGAACTTAATACTACTCCTACCATCGCTTATTTAGTTTAATGAAAACTATATTGATGTCTATTTCATAACATTGTTCGTTTTATGGACAAAATGTACGTGTTTAAATTTATTTTTCCAGGGTCCAAGGGGGGGGGGGGTTTAGCCCCTGTAGCCCCCCCTTGGAACCGCCACTGTCTGGCTCAAAATCTCTTTCAGCTTATATGTAAAATTTGATTTTGATAAAGTTCTGTATGAATTAGGTAAATGATTGTAGATTTTTAATCCCATGTAAAGAGGCCCAGTTTCAAATTTTGTGTGTGAATGTTTAAAATATATATAACGTTTGTTAAAATTATTTCTTGTTTGATAGTTATGATTTATTTGATATTTTTCATAAAAGAAAGAATTTGCATGAACATACTTTGTTTGCTCTTTCATATATATAAAGAGATGGTAATGTTAAGATGGAATGTTTTTTAAAAAAGGTTTACAGCTTGTTTTAGACCTCTGATGAAAAGCAGTATTTTTTTATTACTATTGTGCGCTGCTTTCGATTGAATAGGTATCATCGTAATAATTTTAGAGCCATTCCCTCCAAACCAATATTTTTCAATATGATCAGCAGCAACCTGTGATCCACACAGTCAAAAGCCTGGATAAGTCACAGAAAACTTCTGCAGTCAACTTCTGCTTTAAGGACACTACTAATAAAAGTATATTAACATTTTATTTGCATATAAATATAATCAATATCATAGACATACTCATAAAACATACTCCCTTAGTAGATTTCCCATCCTTATGGAACAGCTGAATCCAATTTTACTGTTAGTTCTGTCCAGTGTACTGTAGAGTCATGTTTTGTTTACATTTCGTTTATTACTATTTCAATTTCAGTAATTTAAAACCTCGTATAATCAAATAAAACTATCTAATCATAAACAATAACTTGTCTACTAGCTGTATAACCAAACAGTGAGGCACAAATCATGATAAACTAACCCCAAAATAATAGAAACAAATTGTAAACAAAACACAACATCTACAGTACACCAGACAGAACTAACAATACAATTGGCCTCAGCTGTTCCATAAGGATGGTAAATAATAGACTAACCAACACAAGTAGACTTCTCATCCCATTGTAAATTTTGAAGCACGTTTTTCGTGTCTAGTTCATGTACGTGACACATGGGCGCTAGTGTCGACAAAACTTTGTTTCTATTATTATTATTAATTTCTTGATTTGTGCTTTACTGTTTGGTTATATAACTAGGGGACAGGTTATAGTTTATGATTAGATCGTATTATTTGGTTAAACGAGGTTTTAAATGGCTGTAATAACGGGAAACAAATTGTAAACAAAACACGACCTCTACATAAATCGTACAGAACTAACAATAAAATTGTCTTCAGCTGTTCCATAAGGATGAGAAATCTACTAAGGGAGTATGTTTTATCTATGGGTAAATCTACTAAGGGAGTATGTTTTATCTATGTCAATATCCATCTAAGCATTTGGTCAGGGTAAAAGTTTTTTTTTATTACTAAACAGTTTTTTCTTCTCTTGAAAAACCCAGTGCTGGAATTTTTATTTTTCAATGTTTCCTAGAGTTTAGATATCACAGCGGTTGTTCATGAAAAAAAGCTAAAATATCAAAAGTACTGATGTATTTAAATTAAAATATTTTCTGTAGTGGTTTTCAAGATCATAACTTACATAAATCACATCTATAGCAAGTTTATCTCTTTTTCATAATCAACAAAAATAGGAAGGTTGTACATCTACTAGTACTTTATACATTATATCATTAGTAACTACAGTAGTGTAGATTTTGCTTGAATTCGAGCAACTGCAAAGTATTACAGGAGATATATTATCAGGTGATGTGAATATTATCACCTGATAATATTTATTACTTGATTTGTTTGTAGGCCTAAATATTGTACTTGTTCTTAATTAAACAGTGTACACAAGTTTCAATTTCACAAGCACACGTGAAAGCAAGGAGAATAAGGTGGGCAGGACACGCACTACGGAGAGAACGAGGTTC